GGCTTTAATGAGGTGCCAGGTAGGCTTTGGCAGAGCTGCCCCAAGACTCCTGGGCCAGGACTTGTTCCATGAGAAGCTTGGCCATAACTAAGCAGAAGGAACGGCCAGAGGGGCCAGGCAGGCCTGGCTATGTCAGGACCAGAACCACAGCCCTTCAGCATGGGAAATATTCTGGGAGATGCCTAAAGATAGGGCCTCATTTCAGAACTCTCCGTCCCAAAGAGGCTTTCCTGGACCCCATCAAGCCAGCTTTGCTCATTAAATTTTCCAACAACTGGAGGGGTCTCTAGTTCCTGCTCCAAGTGCCCAACATTATGCTTTCCCGAGATTTCTAGCCACGGAGCCCACCTGGAGGGCAGAAATGTGAAGGAGGCCAAGTCCAGGAAAGGAAGGAAGAGAACAGCACCCCTTCCCATGCACAAGGCAGAGCCAAGCCCACTTCCCACCCTGCAGAGGCTCCTCTCCAGCCACCTGGAACCTCCCAGTGCCATCTGGTCATCTCCATGGTTGCTGGGGTGAGCGAGGCAAGGGTCAACAGGTCAGGCCTGCAAAAGCTGGAAAGATGTCGCATCTCCTCCCAGGCCCACTCCTGGGAAAACACGGGTAAAAAGGGCCTTTCCAACCCACCCTTCCACACCACGTACCCTGGGGAGGGCTTGGAATTTCCTCTTAAGCCAAGCTCATGTCTCCAGGAGCATGACCCCAGGCACAGGAAAGCCACGCGGACAGAATCAAAGCAGGCAGCCTGGAAATCCACGTGGACAGAATCAAAGCCGCAGACTGCAAGACCACAGAGGGTCCTCAGAGATGCCTTGGTTAAGCATCCTTGTCTGATCAGTGACAAAACTGTGGGCACAGGAGTGAAATGGTCCATTCAGGGCACCGAGGAGGCCATAGGCATAGTAAGGAAAAGAGGCAGGTTTCTACCTGTCACCTCCATCCACCCTCTGCCTGTCATCTCTGCATCTCATCTCTGGTTCTCCCTAACATAAGTCTCCCAGCTCTGAGCCATGAGTAAAGTCCTCTAGAGGGCACTTTGCTGGGTACAACATCCCCCAGGTCCCTGCCAGACTCGTCCTAAACGCGGGGTCTGTCCTCATTCTTCCCCTCCCTCCTCTGGGCGGGAACTTTCAATCTGCATGTGTGTGGGCACCACAGTGGGTGGGAGTTAGGCAGACGTGGGTTGGAGGAATGCCCTGGTTCAAGACATGAGCCCACCACACCTAGGCAACCCGAATTTCCTACTTCAGCGAGCTGAGTCCCTGAAACAACAGTGTAGGTACAACACTGTCCAGGAGCCCTGGGGTGCTGCTGTTGAAATCCACATGCCTACACAAGTGCCAGCATGCCTGGCTCAGCCCTCAGAACCTGTCCACACACTGCTCCTGGGAGTCCTCAGCAGCAACCCTCCCAATGCGTAGCCATGTTTAAACACCCGTTCTGGTTCCATGATGTGACACTTATCACCCGATTCTCCTGTTCCCGGCTTCCCCATCTCTGGAAAAACAAACAAAAAACCCTTTTAGGGGCTGGGGTTGGGACACAGCAGTAGAGCGCTCGCCTAGCACATGTGAGACCCTGGGTTCGATCCTCGGCACCACATAAAAATAATAAATAAAATAAAAGTATGTGTCCAACTACAACTAAAAAATAAATATTTTTTTTAAAAAAAAACTTTTTGTTGTTTAAACAGACGCAGACCAAGCCACCAGATTCTCCCTGCTCCAAATTCCCCCTAGCCCACACAGGGCACAGACCCCACAGGAACTGCACAGTCCATCGTCCACCTTTCCTCAAAATGTGACAATCAGCAAGTGCCAAGATCCTGCTCTCTGCCTGAGACTCCTTGTTCAGACATCCCAGTGGCTGAACCTTGGGCTCCCGTCACAGGGCCCCTGCAGCTCCTGGCTTCCTGGGCTCCCCTGGCCTGCCCTCTGGCAAGGGATCCTGAGCTGGGGTCACGCTGGTCCTTACCAGCCCCTTCAAGCCTGGTTCCCACATGCTCTGTCACTGTGCATCGCTGTGTATGACACAGCCTGGTAAGCTTACTCCTGCATTTAGCCCAGGGAGAGGAAGAGACCGGATGTAAGAATCAGGGCACCCACTATATCATGTCGCAGGACTCATGTGGCCCATCCAGCTTCCCCTCAATCCAGGGACCATGAAGCTCAAAGCCTCAGATCAACAGCACTCCACCAGTGGAGGCCCTTGCTAGCTCCTGCCTTTGAGGGCCTCCATTTCTGCTAACCCTCCTGGGTTGTAGGCACAGGTATATTTCAAATCACCTCCATCAGTCTGCATATAAGGTGCAGCATTTTAATTAAGCAGAAAAGCCCATCATCTCTCCAGGGCTTTCCTGAGCCTGTAGCTAACCCCTGCTCCATCGTGGAACCCCAACAGAGCCTGTTTCCCAGCCAAAGGGGCATTTCCCCTTTAGCGCGCAAGCAGTCCAGCTCCCACAGATTGGAAAGCAGCAGTGCCTGCCCCCAGTCCATCTCCAGGCCCCGGCCCCAGCCCTGCTTCCTTCTGAAGAAGGTAGTTTGCACCCAATACCTACACTTCTGCCTCTCTGCCACGCCTCAGCCACAGCAACCTGGCTTTCACTACATACACACACACACACACACACA